TATAAAAGAATTTGGACGCGATTATCTTTAGAACGATAATTAAAGTGGTGTAGTAACATATAAACCTTGTTTTGTTTTTGGTTCTCTTTTGTTAATGAATCTAAAATGGCTAAAGTTTGAACCATCGTATCGTTTATTTGGCAGAAGCATTGCTAGATTATTTTCTGGTTTTAAATTGAATAATCACCACTTAATTTTTGAGACTTTTCTTTAGCTGTGTTTCTTTACAGCTGTTTGAAGAGTTTAAACCAGTGATGTTTGTGAAAAAACTTATATTAAAGTTTTCCACTTAGTAGTAGTTCATAATACTTGTATTACATTTTATGGATTTTGATAATTAATTGGTTTTGGGTTGAATGATAGCGATGTTTTTTGAGAGAGGAAAAAATAAGCTATTTTAGTGTTGCTAGTTGGAAAGTTGAAAACTTTTGAAATTCAATGAGCATCACGTTTGTAAAGAAGCTTAACTTAGTCTGCACTGGTAAAGAGTTTATGTGTAAATTTAGTTAAGTGTAGAATTAAAAGAAATTTATTAGTAATTCTTCTTAAACTTAGTAAAATGCATACATCATGATAATTCTTTTTTTTTTCTTTGCGTACATAAACAAATTAGCATATGCATGATTATTTATGTTTTTATCCTGTGATTACAGATGGTCACTGGAAAGGCTAGGTGACGCTTAAATAACCTAGCTGCATAATTTTTATGTGTAATTAAACGAACAGAGAAGTGCATTGTAATTTTTGACTGGATTTAGGAATTGTTCAGGTTTTGTGCAAGGCACTGTATTGTTTGGCACTTTTTGCCTTGGCATGTATACATATATAGGGACCGACGAAGAAACTCTGAGTCTTCCGATATTGCGCTGTAAATTATTGAAAGAGTCGCTGTAACTACTTTATTTCGTATTGAAACGAAAAAATTTTGTACTAGCGGCGGCTTTGGATCGTCTCCAATGAGCTTGTACAGAGTCTCTGATGGTTGAAAGGAGCTGTAATGAGTGTTTTTTTCTTCAGTAAAATTTTTTATGGTGGTAATGTATGTGTTTTTTTTTTTTCACTTATTGCGAGTTTTTTTTTTTTCAAACTTATGGTTGAATTGTTTTTAGGGGAATGAAATGCTGGATGCGATGGGGATGTGATTTTTTTTTTTGCCTGTAACCTTATTGTACGTAGGGCAGGAGATTTTAAGCGAATTTTTTAGCTTAAAAGCCTCAATATATTTGCTACAATGATTTTTGCATTAGATTTCTTTTTTTTTAAAAGTTTTTCTCTTGTCTACTTAATTAGCTTATTGATCAGAGCTGTATAGAACTGTTGTAAATATTGCGACGACAAAATGGTTTTCAGAGTTCTTTCACTCTAATAATTACTTTCTACCTTTCTTATTGTTTATTTGACGTTTAAAATCTACTGATTTAATTGTGTGTATCGAGCATTTATTACGGAAGGAGATGACTTTTTTT